ATATCTTTTAGTACTATTTAAATAGATAATAAACATCATATTTAATATCAGATTTTCGTCATGTTGTCAATTTACCAAGTTCCGATATTTGATGCTACCAGAGTGAATTCATAGCTCAATTACAAATCAAACAACAATTCATAATGCTTATTATGTTATTAAATTTATAATTTAGAGTCTTGTAGCATAATTTGTGAAAATAATGGTGATATTTTCATGTTTTTATTGTTTTTCTCATGATGTAGACATTGTCTCTCACTGAAACATCACGAATAGCATGTCATTTATCCATTCTCTACCAGATTATTATCTTTTACTGTAATTTTCACTATTGGATATTTTACTTTTAATATTTGTGATACTTTACTATTATATTCAATAAATAAGGGATAAGAAATATTCATTAGAAGAAGATAGATTCCTAGTAATATTCTCTCAATTTAATATTTCTAACTAGTAATTCTAACCAGAGGTGTAGGTTTGGTTCTGAACTCATTTAATGTTTTGAAATTTTTACGAATCAAACTAATGTAATTTGTAATTATAGAAAAGGAACATGTATTTCAGGACATTTATGAGTTCAATTCACTCCTATCCACATGCAATTTGATGAGTGACATAATGATACTTCAACATCAAGTTCCTCCATCCACTTTCACACAAAACACCTTCCATTAATGTCTGGTCCTAACTTTGTAAGTTTCAGTCAACCTCATTTTTCACCAAATCCGATCATGGTGAATTCAATTTCTCCAAATAAAAAACAACTTGATTTATTGTGAATGAGATTTGTGATTTGATGTAATATAATAGGCAACAAATGAACAAACGAAATGGAATAAATAGAAATAACAAGACTTTCATTTTAATCATACAAAAAAAACAAATTAACAATAATCAACATGATCAATCAATACGTGCATTGTATTGAATTTCATGTGTGTGAAATATTTGAAATATTTGAAATACAATTTTGTAAGTACTTTTTTGAGTTGTACTGTTTTAATTTTGTTTTGTAGTTCAAGAAAGTTTGATAATACAAAAGAAATGTATATCTTTACCTAACAATGCCACTCGAGTGCATAATTTTTGTATTGTTTTTACCAAATCCTTATATCAAAGTCTTCTCATTCTTTCTCTTCTTACCAATAATAATGTTCATTTGTTTAGCCTTTCTCAACAAATCTTCCTAATGTACCAAACAGTGAAACGTCTGGGCAATTGCTTACTGGAGGATATGTATTAGGAAGAAATGTTTGAGAATCTACATTTCTTCCTAATACATCGAACAGGAGTTAATTTGGTTAATGAAGAACATTTTTCAAAATGTCTAATTCTGAGCGAAGTGAAGAATGGACTTGTTTTCATTGTAAACTTAATAAAATATAAGTTGAGTATTTTTCCATGCTCAAAAAATTATCACAATGGCCCCAACACCAACTACACCAAAGAACAACAAGAAAACGAAAGACCTTAGCTCACCTTCTGCAGGTAGCGAGCAACGAGTCATTGTTTTAACTCCTTCCACCTCAAATTCTTCTGATGGTTCTGCTATGCCTTCACCTCCTCCTGTTCAAGACACAAAGAAGAACAAGAAGAACAATCAACAAAAGATATCACCTGGCAAAGACTCAAACAACGCCAAGGTGGGTTCACAAGGTGCTTCTGCTCTCGCTTCTTCGATGGAATTGTTTGAGTCCAACCCATCTGAAGAGGTTTCTGGTAAAAGAGCAAGAGTTGCTGATGAACTAGATGATTGGTTTAAAAACCACATCATCGACTCTTACCAAAGAATGTTTGGTGAGTCATTGAAATCTGCAAGCGTTTGAGAGAGTGATATTCTTGATTTACCACTTATTCTTCAAGGATTTGAATTTATTTAGAATATTTCTGAGTTAAATCTAATCTTCTGCTGTTTTTACTTTTTCAGCAGATTTAATCGTCTTCTCTTGTTGTTTGGAGGTGATTTGGTTAAGTGAACCTCCTGATTTGTAGCTGTTAGAGAAGTTTTCAGCTGCTTCAAAGTCATTTTTAATGCCCATTCAAACACAGAAACTATTGAAAAAGTCAGCAAATGGGCTAGCAGAACCCTTAATTTTCGTAAGTTCCTCACTAGATACAATACTAGACAAGCTGGCTACAACTACAACAACTTCAACCAAGGACAAGGTAATACTTATCAATCCAACAATCAACAAGGCTACAGAAGATTCAATAATGTAGAGTTGCGAGGAACGATGCAACGTTAGCATTTCGACAAATTGTAAACAATAAAATTGAGTTGATAAATAATTTTATGCTCAAAAAAATTAAGTATATTGAAATGGTTCAAACACCAAGCAAAGCGAATATCTCCAACATTCGTCAAAGAGTTTCAGTAAGCAAATCTTCAACTTCTACCTACAAGTCAGGTTACATCCTAGTAACTGACAATGGTAGCTCAGCTTCACTCCCCTCTGTGGTTGACCCAACAAGCAAAACCTTGGATAACAACCAAGCTGGTTCTGAAAAGAACCTTGATGCTATTTTCAACGCCATCACTTCTTTGGGTGAGAGAATAAAGCATCTTGAAGCTGTTCCTCCTATTCTGCAACAAGCTAATCAACTTGATGAAGACCTTGATGAGGAATCCGCTGATGAGGATTTCACTGGTAAACATTGGGGTCTAACTACTATCAAGGAGATTAGACGTAACTACGAAGTTGGTGATAGACTATCCGATGGAGATGTCATAAGTTTTGTCTCAACCAAAACACTTCGTCATTACTCTTCCAATGAGGCGTTGTTGAATAGAGTTCAAGTTTTGATGGCTCGATTTGAATCTGTCATTCACAACTCTCGTAACTATCCTCGTCTACAAGAAATTCAATCCAAAGGCTTGCAAAAGATGATGGAAATGTTACATTTGAAGTCTAAATTATATTAAGCTCAATAACACAGTAACATTCTAAAATTGTTCTAATATGAATTGAATAAAATAGGCTATTCCATTTGTTGTTGGCTTTAATCTACTTGTTCTTAACGATTTCATTCCCAAGATCAAATTTCACATTATTATTTCATGAAACTTTCCCCACTCGATGTGTGCATTTATATATGTTACCAGATCAAGTTTCATTGTTTGATTTTGTAATTTCAACTAACAAATTAGCAAATCTTTGAATAGATTTGTTTCAAGTTTATTCGCAAATAATAAAACATGTCAATTACAGTTAGTAGCATTGTCATTATTTATATATATCCATAATTATTCAAAAAATTCAGGTTTCGTCATCTGATCCAAGAGTTATTTAGAATTAAGGGAAAAAAAGAGTGTTAAGGACTGCCTTATATAAAAAATTAAAAAAAAAGTGAAATTTATTATTAATTTGATATTTACTAATACATGGGAAAGTTACATGATTTGGAAATTTAATTTGGGCGAGTAAATAACCAATTCTTAGTCAACCCAAC